AGAGGTGCCTTTAATATGAAAACAAGATTTGCTTCAAAGTCACATGTGCTTTTCCAAAGGCCCTGTGCAATAACTCAACCACTGATTCTGCAGCAAATCTGAGCTTCAAACCAGTATGAAAATGTTAGCACCGGGTTAAAGGTATTCAGCATAAAACTAAGGATGCCCATAAAGGGTAGTTTTACAGTAGGAAACATTAACATAATGAATCATAATAGTGGTACCTAATTCTTCCTTATGAAGTTGATATCAAACTCAAGATCCCATGTAAATTTCTGCTGATATTCCCTCAACAGATCTCAATTCTTTGAAATTATGCTACACGTAAAAGAAGGGGAAAATGAAGGACCCACCATGATATTCATGCTCTGTTATGCTGGCTGCACACTTACTGGGGCCTTTGAAACATTAAGATTTATCTTTATTAACATAACAAAGGAGCTTACCCTTGTTACCTTCTAGTAGTTCAAGCCTCAGGATCTGCCCGCGCACACACATGCACACACACACACACACACATTTTTTAAAAAGATGGACAAACAAATTGAACTGACATTTCTCCAAAGAAGACATAAAAATGGCCAACCAATTTATGAAAAGGTACTGGATATCACAAATTACCAGGGCAATGCAAATTAAAATCACCATAAAATATCACTTCACACTTCTTAGAATGGCTATTATCACAAAGACAACAGCTAACAAATGTTGGCAAGGGTGTAGAGTAAAACAGATTCCAGTGCAGTGACAGAAATGTATGTTTGTAGAATTATTATGGAAAGCATTGTGGAGGTTCCTAAAGAAATTAAAAATAGAACTACTATATGATGCAGTAACATTTTTTCTGGGTAAATACTCAAGGAAGAGAAAAGGCATAAATTATCATTTATACAAGTGTCATTTCATGAATATATCTGCACTTCCCTATACATTGCAGTATTATTCACAAAAGCCACAATATGGAAGAAATCTAAGTAGCTGTTGATGGATGACTATGTAAAGAAAATGTTATATATCTATAAATACATGTATACCTATAGGTACACATTTATAATGGAATATTATTCAGCCCTAAAAAGGAAAGATTCTGCCATTTGTTACATGGATAGACCTGGAGGACATCATGTTACATGAAGTAAGCCAGACACTGAAAGAACTACACTGTATGATCGCACATGTGTATGGAATCTAGGGGAAAGAAGGTTAATCATATAGAGAATAAGTGTAGTTTCTGTAGGTGGTGGGGAGTGGGTGAGAGAAGAACACAGCATCTCAGCTTTTCTGCTCTCCTAATACGCAGAACAAGCACAGAATACTGATGAAAGGTTTTTCTCCTTGGTTTGTTTCTATTTTTCTAATAGAGAAGAAAAAAACGGAGATTAAAATAAACTCCTTTCATTTCTCTCTTTACTCTATTTTTACCCAAATGTAGGAAAATTGAGTCTTGGGGTTTACAAACTAATATAGATTCATACTCTTCTTTAAAAAAGGAAAGGAAAGGAAAGATCAGATGATCCTGTGCACGCTATGATCTAAAATACACCTGAGTAGAAAGAGTGGAGAGAGCCAGGTCTGAGGCTGTAACAGTGTGAGTGGCTGGATAAGGGGCAATTGATTCCATCTGAATGTGACTACAGATTAGGTCCCCAAATACCTGCCATCCCCTGGAGGAAGGCAGGGGGACTCCTCAGATGACTGACACAAAAATCCCCTGACTTCACTTCCCAGATCGCAGGTGGCAAGAAACAATGGGAGAGGCTTGAGGGATAGGGATGTGATCAGAGGTTTACTGAGGAGGAGGAGCTCTTGTAGTCACTCGCACCGAACGCTGGGCAGTTATTCTCTGGTAGCCCTTTGTAAGAGAAGGTAGATGCTGGGGAAATTTAAAAATGTCCTACACATACTTCCTGCCATCATGGCTCCTGCTAAGGTCACTTCCCCTCTAATGGCATAGAGAACAGCTATCATGTATTCTTGTCCTATGATCTGACTCTTCTGCAGAAGGAAAAGATTGATCTTTAGAATTCACGCCAAAAGCGAACAAACGAAATACAAAATAGAAAAAAAAAACTTTATCCCAAGTAGCTAAACTGACCCTAAGTCAAAACTGAAGGAAAATTAGTAGGTGCAACGTGCATAAGCACATCTTTCCTTCTTGTTTTGTTCTTCTATGTCTTCTTTCCCAGGAAGCAAACGACCAGGGTCAGATGGAAGACACCTGGAATAACTACATGATGGACTGACCTGTCTAGGACAGAGGGTCTGGCCATGAGCTGGGACTCCAAAATGCATCCTGACATAACCCATGCACTAGGAAAATGCACACCCACTTCTCAGTAGTGGATTTTCATGACCACTCCTTTGTCACCCTTTCTGCTCCTTTCCTGAACTGCCTCCCCCCCACACTGTGCCGGGCCATGACACAGTTACAGCCCTCGAGGACCACTTGAGCCTGACTCTTAATTCCTCCTGAAAATTTCCTCTCATTTTCCTAACTCCTTCTTCTGAGCTCCCTAAACACACAGGGAAGTGTTCACTATAATTTTTAACCATTGATTATAGCAATTCATACCAACCAAGAATGAGGGAGATTTAACAGAAGTTCCTTTCTATTTCAGAAGAAATTTCTAATGGAGGAGAGGGTTGTTACACATATCTGAACGGAGCCTTCGGGGCTCCCAGCCTCCTCCGGTTCATAAGGGTTCCTAATGAAAGGTTTCACCAATTTGGCCTCCATGAGGATAAATTTAACTCTTCCATCACTCTTGAAAACTTCTGAACCGTCCCATGAAATAATAGAAGGCAGAAGGAATTAAGGAGAGGAGAAAGCTTTTGTGGTCTCTGTTCTCATAAACTAATGGAGTGCTTGTTTCCCCTAGATGAGACTTGGTAAGCATCTGAGATTTTATAAACCAAGTAGATGGGCAACTGCTTTCATCAAATAAGCTATCAAGTTAAAGTAGGTGTTTACAAATGAATAACTTTTCCTTTACTAAACTACTCTTGAAACTATCGTTAAATTCACTTTGCTCATTAGTGTCATTTTCACAATACATATTTATGTATCTATTCAGCTATTTGGAACAAGGTTCCCAAACATAAATAGCAATTGTCCCCTGAAAAAAAGAAAACCTCCAAAGTGTCTTATCCCTACTTAGGCTCCATCTTTGCCTTCAGCCTGTTTATTCCCGGAAATATACTTGCCTGCAGAACCTACACACTAATTTCTTCAATAGGCACCAAAATACCCTTCTGCCAGTTGGCAACCACAGCTTTCAATCAGCCACCTGAATTACTTTTGGGAGGCTGGAGGCATCGCTAATTCCAATAGCTAGCATGCCAAGGCACCCAGAAGATTACAGGCATTTAAAATCAAGTTCTCAGACTGTGGTCTTCAGTTTTTCTTGAAAGATGCTTGTAAAAGAAAAGACCCAGTGAAACTTTGATATTTGCATCAAGTCACAACTAAGGGGCAGGTTTGCAAAATCAATTGTGCAGCTTTTATCCTCACTGCACATTTACCACATATGTCCTTTATTACACAGTGGAAAACCATTAAATGCACAGTAGTTTTGCCAAGTGGCATTATGCATTTAACAGCTTTATTCGCTTAACAGCTCCAACTCTCATTATATTTTGCCATGTGGTACATGGGATTTTATGCATTTAACAGTTTAAGAAGGCTCTATGGTATTTTCTTTTCATGTATTTCATACTATGGTTGGACATCATCTCTTAGCAAACTGTATTTCACTGATTTCATTGACAAAAAGAGTCATAGTTAATCTGGAGAAATGGTTACATTGAAATTGAGAAGGGAAAACAAACATTTCAGTCCTCTTCAAAGTTCCTTGATATTCTTTTACTCTCCCTTTATTACCATCTGAAAATAACTTAGGTTACCACAAAACTGCAGGTTGAAATAAAAAGCTAACCTCTAAACAATATAATTAGTCTAAATATAACATTTGTCGTTTTAAAAACATATTTCTGGAACCTTCCTTGCTTAATAGAAATATGGTATGGGTAACTTCCACACAGCACACATGAGAAGATCTGTTAGAGAGATGGTGAACCCATTTTAACATTTACATATGTAGGAATGAAAACATTTGTCATGCAAAGTCACAGAGGAAATCAAGCTCAAATTCAAAGGACTCTCAAAATTAAGCTTTAACTGACTCTCCTTTCCTTCACGCATTAATTGCTTATCTTGGTAAACAAGTGAGCACCTCAAACTGACCAAGGAGAGATTCTACAGTCAGAAAGTAGTTGTCCCTTTAAACAAATTGAGAGTAGATGCCACCAACTGTTGCTGCTTTCAGAAATTAAAAAAAAAAAAAAAACACCTAAGCATCTGTCTGCAACTTTCCCCTGGGCATTGCATTCTCCACAATCCCGACACTCTGAAATTTTTTACTGGGTAAGCTTCTATGTTTTCCTGTTAGAAGAATTTAGCACTTACTCTGGATCTCCCACGTGTGTTTTCCCCTGGAAAAACAACTGTATTCTGTACATAAAAGAAACACCTGACATCGCAAGGTGTCTCTGGGGTTGGGGAAAGTGGTTATTATGGCCAAGCCAATCCTTCCCCTGGAGGGAACAGGAAAGGAGATGAGACCTGGTTAGACATGGTCCCCAGGAAGGTGCTGTTATAAACATTCTAAGTTTTGTTCAAAGAAAAAAGAATTTTAAAAACTGACTTTCCCCTCCCCCAAATAAAAGGAATAAACAAAAAAGACAAAAAGGAAGGTGCACAATAGTACAAGAATAAGGGGAGAAATCATTCCATTATTATTCACTGTTGTTTTAATACTTTAAAGGGGAAAAAAATAGTTAGGGCTTTCTCCAGTGGGAGGAGAAGTAAGCCAGGGAGCAAAAGGTAGAATATGACGGGTTCCCTGGGGATTATTATTGTTATTATTATTATAAGAACAGATGTATTTTTATAGGAGGGTCTGATTCCAGCCGTGGGCTTTGCTGCTTTAAAAACCACTCACCTGACTTTTATTTGCAGCCACTTTGGCAAACAGGGCTTGAGACACCTTGGCCCTTTTCATCTCCTGTTGGATCTCGTCATAAATGGCAGCTGTGATGTTGACGTTGGCGCCGTCCACCTTAATAGGGAGGTCTGTTGTCGGTGTCGAGGTTTTGGCCTACCAAGAGACCATGAAAATAATAATTTAAAAAGTGCTGCATTCAGCCCAGCCATCTGTGCAGAAATTATCAAAGGATTTCAGTCAGCTGATGCCAGACTGCATTAGCTACAGAGGGATACTTCCTGTCCATTATTCTAATCAGGTTAATTGTGATTGGAAATAATTGCAGGGCATTCCTATAGGACAGGCAGACTCCTGTCAACCCTGCTCTGTCCCTCACAGAATCCGAGGTGGTGCACAGGTAGGATGGCCAGACTGTCTGTACACACTCACCTAGCTGCCAAACAAACATGCAGAATACACACCTTCTTTTTTCTAAAAGCTAGAACACCTTTGCACGAAGTCAATTCTTCCAGAAAAAAAAAAAAGAAGAAATGTGTAGAGGTCTCTAAATAATAAATTATTACTCGATTTAATGTCCTCCCCCGAGTCTCTCTCATTCTTTATTAAAGCTGTATGTATGTCATTTGAGTATGTATGGTTTCCTATCACTATCATCATTATGCTACCCAGACAGTCACCTAATTTCACCTAGGAAATCAGTGGAAATGAAACAAAATTTCATTTCATGAGACTAGGCTTCAGAATGCCTTTGATATGCCGTTTTCATTTTCTTAAACTCATATTGTGGCTTTATGTAGTCTGCCGTGCTCGTTTTAATTGAATGATTTCCCATCAGCTTCGGAGACAAATGAAGGACAATACAGAAGGTGTCTGTGCTTCTTGGGGTTAGGAATACCCTAAAACATCGGAGTCTACTTGGTCTGAAAGACTGTCAGAGTATCTGCTTAGTCTGGGCCTAAGATGCTTTGCTCAAGGAGTCTTGGCAGATTTCTTTTTCCCCCAGTGGCAGGCCCCTGAGAACAGCCCTCTTCCGTGGGCACAGGAACCCTGCTGGTGGAATAGCCCTAAACTGGACTTTGTCTTTTTGCCTCATTCATCTTAAGACCCCAAAAACAAGGGAGCTGTTGCCAAATCCTAACCTTCCCTCTGCTGGTGCCCTGTGTTTCTCCATAGCTCAAGCAGTGTGCTGGTCAGGAGTGTGGACACTGTGCCATCATTTGCAAAGAGGTCTTTAGACTGTATTCAATGCTCTAAATTCACATGAATCTTTTGCTTTTTTCTAAGAGCATGAAGTAATGTTTGCCATTTTCCTTTGACCGTCCTGCCTCATACTATTTTCTAATTACTGCCAAGTCAATGAGTCTAAAAAAAGCAAAGTGTCCTCTCTTTGTGTGCCAGGCCCCCTTAGAACATGCTTTGGCTTTGCTTATCTGATTCCGATGAGAGACTCAAGAGGCAGATGAAGAATCTGATGGTGAAAAGGAGGATAGTGAACTTGCTAAAGGACCCACTGCACCATGTGAAGTTACAATGAATGGCCTGAACTCAAAAAGTCTTTCAGGCTCCAAAGCCACGGATCAGGACCACTGTGCATCTCCAGATCCACCAGTGCTGGCTGGGTTGGCAAGCATCTGCTTTCCTGCTAAGCCTTAGCCTTTTATCTAGGAATTTTCAAGATGGAATTATGTGTGGTTTTAATTTATTTTTTAAGTATCCCACAATTTTGCCACTCATTGTGTGGAGTTACAAATTAGTCAAGTACTAGAAACTATCAGGTCTTTGAAAAAGTACCTAAGATAGAATCTTAGTAGAAAATTATTTTAAAAGGAGCAGACAACAAAACAAATATAACTGTATTTGTTTCTAACAAGTAAAAGTAAGGAATATTCTGAAAAAACTGTGTATGATTAAATGGCCATGAAGGATGGCCAGGCTCTCCAGCAACAATCTAACAGGCTTTCAACGTGTTGAAAAGTAAACATTGGTGAAAATTAACAACTTGCTCAACTTAATCAGTGTGTCCACCCTAAATCCTAGAGAAAAAGAAATAAAAACTCTTGGTTACACTTGTTCCAAGCAAGAAGAGCCATATTTTTGGCTGAACACTAATAAAAACTCCTAATTTACTAAGAACAATGTGGTAGTATATGATAGAAAATGATTTTTAAAAATGTAGAGCACAAAAATATGGAAGTCACTATCAGTGTAAATGAAAGTTTATATACTTCAAAAAGACAGAAAGACTTCTACTAGAACAAAGTTCTGATTTTATGCTTAATCAGCTCCATGGACTTTATCAGAAAATGAAATTGTATGAAACAAAAACTCTAATATCTAAACACAACAATCTTTAGTTGGGAAGCACATTTGCACAAATGTGTTCTTGGCACTAAGATGGCTCTGAGAACCATCACTCAGTCAGAACCCAAGCTTTATCCAAGCAACAGTGAATGAGATGGCTTCATCATAAACAGTATTAAAATTTAGATGAGGTATGAGTGGGCTCAGTTATGAATTGGAAATGACCCCTGATAGCCTCAAGTCCTTAGATGCAACCAGAAGTTTTAAAGTGTGTTATTAGACACACACACTTGCAAGAGGGCCTAGATCAGAACATTGTAAAAGTGTATAGAAAGGAAAGATGGAAACCACCAAATCCAATGAGATCATCCTGGAAAGGAAAGTCATTGAGGCCTACTTTTCCATTATCATTTTCTAGCAAACACTGAGTGACACTCGAACTGTCTGTGGTAACCACTGCCTTTGCATGCTTCCTTAGGCAAGGGATCCCCCCATTTTTTTTTGAATTGCATAAAACAAAACTTAAGACTACTCTCTATCCCTTGCCCCAAGCTACTTTCTTCCCATACAAAAAATAAAAACAAAAAACCATAACTGGGCCCTGGTAAATCACTCCTGTAATGCTAACTACTCAGGAGGCTGAGATCTGGGGATTGCAGTTCAAAGCTGGCCTGGGCAGGAAAGTCTGTCAGACTTATCTTCAATTAACCACCAAGAATCAGAAGTGGTGCTTTGGCTCAAGCGGTAGAGGGCTATCCTTGAGGAAAAAGGAAAAAAAAAAAACACTCAGAGGCAGTGCCGAGGCCTTGAGTTGAAAAATACAAACACATACACATGTGCACGCACGCACACACATACACACACACACACACACACACACACACAAATGAAAAGCAATGTACTTGCTATACAAACTCGGCTTTTACCCAAACTCCTGTTCCTTCCCTAACTAAGCAGCTATATGCAGACTTTCAGAGCATGACTCCCACTCCTCATCCCATACATATACCACATGGAGAAGAGTGACTTTCCTAGAGAAGTAGAAATGGTATAAAAGATACTACAGGGTTACAATCATTATATGCCAAACACCATATATCCTTTGACCAACACACTCACTAGATTAAGAAATCCTTGGATTAGAACACTTAGTTTTCAAGAGTCTCTGTGCAGCAAGGTGATTCCAAGTGAAGAGTGGAGCCAACATCTCACCTGAGGGGTTCGGGAGGAACTGGGGCTGCTCGAGGCGGAGGAGACCATGCTCACATTGGGGTTCATGCTTCGTTCTCGCTCATCCTGATAAATTCGATCCCGCTCCACTTCAGGCAGGTTGAGGAAATTCTGCATGGCCCTCAGGTTTACCAAAAGAGACTGAGAGGCTGTCCGAGGGTCTTCTTCCTTTCGCAGAATCTCAGACAACAATCCCTGATAAAGTGGAGAAGAAAGGCATATCTGTCATAGCTGCAGGTATACATGTGTGATTTCCATCTCCCAACAGCTCCCTCTTTATTTGTTTGGCAAAATCAGCTCACTCTGATGTCAGGAAACTCAGTTTAATTCCTGCTTGGGGCTCTCCAGCAGAATGATTCTGAGGAAATGTGCTTGCCTTCCTTTTTGTAAGACTGTGCTATTCTGACACTTTATCGTCACTGTAATAATCAGTGTAGAGATGGCAGCTAGCAAGGTAGGCGCTGGGGAAGGATTGTGAAACTGTGACTGCCGCCAGGTGCCTCCTACAAGTATTTCAGGAACTGTTAGAACTCTCTCTGCTTGAAACTGGGCATACTTGGCACTCCTGTTCAGCTTTACAAATCTGCCAAGTTTGGTAAATTTAGTTCCGACATTTAAACAGCATGGGAGATTTACATTGATTTAAAAAAAAGAAAGAAAGAAAGAAAAAAGTTTGGCTTAATTTCTGTATGACCGGCCACTGTTTTCAATATAGATGTTTCTGTAATTAAAAAAAAAAGATACAGCAAAGAGCTGCAATGTGTGTCAACCCTCTGATAATTTCGGATTCTACACACATAATAGCTATCTTCGTATATGTACAGAAGGAGCCAAACCTTCTTCATAAGGCAGCAAGCGTCATAAGAAAACTAATCACACCATTAAAGCAATGAAAATATGGCCACATCCAGTAAAGAGCCAGAGCAAGCTACAACTAACATGTGTACAGAATGCCATGGTAGGCTCAGATACTTTCTGAATGTGTACCTCATCCAAATGGCAAGATTTAAATAGGAAATTAGTGTTTTCATGTGTCCTAATAGCAGGAAATTCACCAAGATGTTGCCAAAACTCTGGTAGAGTAGTAAAGATCCAAGAAGAAAGCAGGAGACCTAAGTTGGAATGCTCCAATACTTCAGGCAGATGTAGATCCATTTCCATCCTGCACACTTGTTGGATTATCACACAGAGATATCCTTTTATATTCTTAGCTAATATCTATCCTCTGAGCAGCATGAGATCAGGGTTTATGACTGTCCCTCAGGAAGAGCTGTGAAGCTAATCCTAAACCTTTGAACAGATGGGCAACTCCAAGTCATGAAAAGTTACTTCTATGAACTGTAGTAAAGTGTTAATGATGCCAAAGATGTTTCTACAAATTGGAACTACTCTAAAGACAACACCATAGGATTTCTAATATATTGTTTAAATATAAAAGGGCAAGTGGGTGTTAATGTTCATGCTTATATATCTAGTTACTCAGAAGGCTGGGATCTGAGGATTAAAATTCAAATCCAGTCCCAGCAGACAAATATGAGAGACATTTACAACCACTTAATTAGCAAAAAGCCAGAATTGGAGGCTGGCATAACTAGAACTGTCAGCCTAAGTGTAAAGTTGAGTGAGAGTGCAAAGTTCTGAGTGCCCGCACACCCATAAAGAAGGGAGGGCAAGCGAGGGGGAGACTTTTATATAAGAAAGATAAAGAGAAATCTGAAAAAATATAGCATATATTTGGCTGTAAAGTAATGCACTGTACTACAGTGAAATAAATGCCATATACAAGAATGTGTATCATATGGTTATCAGCATTCTAGAAAGTAATCACCACTGAACACATCACAAAAGTCAATCAAGGGATGTATATGTAGGATGCCACCTGATAGTTCTGCAACTTGGAGGTCATGATTAGAGGAATCCTCATTAATACTTGAAAGAAATGTGCACATAAACATGGCTGAAGAGCTCTGTAGGGGGAAGAGTGGGTGTGGGTGTGAATGAGAGAGACAGACAGCAGATAGGAAGACAGGGAGAGAGTCAGAGAGAGGGGGGCGTCAGAATGAGAATATGAATAAAATATGCCATATCATGAAGCTGGGAGAAATGTTCATGTGTACATGTGCATGTGCGTACACACCCATGCTTGTTCAAGGAAAGAGTAAAGTAGAATGTATGTGTATAAATACCCTATTGGTAAAATGATCCAAAGAAAATCCAGATTTCTTGTCATGCTTTTAGAAGCAACAAGTGAGACATTTGTCTTCCAGGAAAATGTTAAGCAATCCATGAATTGATTCTCTTTCTGAAATTAAAAGTAGATTCTGTCTTAACTTATCAACTGTTCTACTTTCACTGAGTAACCTGAAATATTCATAATGCATTTGCTTCAGAGATTTAAAATAAATCCCTAAATTAATATGTGGAGAAGCAAGAGGGAAGTGGATTTTAAATTGCTACCAATTTTCAGTATTAGCAAAACACAAAGATTAATGCTAAAATTTAAAGGGGTTATAGGGTCAACCTGGATATATTCTTTATGTTAACCCAACATGACCGAAAAGCAAAGTTTAACTTATTGTTCCTCCTTGAAATTATTTTCACAACATATTGAATACATGACAGTAAGCATCTAGCTTATAGAACATAGCTGAAAGTATACTTCTAATGGACCATGTTCAAACTGACAAGTTTGTTAATTCTTCATCAGTAAAAAAAATTCATTCAGTGTATGAATAGCATAATCCGGCACCAGTAACTCCTATTTATAACCCTAGTTATTTAAGAGAGAAAGATCCAGAAGATCAAGGTCCTAAGCCATCTTGTATAGAAAGAACTTTGAGACTACATTTCCAAAATCACCAGCAAAATTCTGTGTTGAAGGCATGACTCGGGTGGTAAACACCAGCAAAACATGTAAGCTAAGCAAGTCTGAAGCTCTGAGTCCCAATCTTGGTACCTAGCAAAAAGGAGAAGAAGAAGGAGGAGGAGGAGGAGGAGAAGAAGGAGGAAGAGGAGGAGGAGGAGGAGGAGGAGAAAAAGGAAGAAAGCATAATGAAACCCCCTAAAAATCAATAAAAGTGTGGTGTGGGAGAGTATTAAAAAAGAGCAATATAGATGGGGTGAATTTGATCAAAGTATAGTATACGCACATAAGTAAATTTCACAATAAAAGCTCTGTACAATTAATGGTAACAAAAGTTAAGTAGAACAATCATTCAAAATCATATTGTTTCTATTTGTTTCTTGTCTGACTTTTCTCTTTGAAACTGTACAAAGCCTTCCTCTGCATTGGTTATTCAGTGGGCAGTCTTTTAGGAAAGCTTGACTATTTCTACGGCCAGAGCAGACAAAAAGCCTTTACGATAAGTGCTTGACACCACCACTACTCAAGTCTGAGAGAAACAATATTTGTATTTTAAGTAACTGGTGGGAAATAACGCTGCCTCAGATTCATTTGCCTAATTGTAGATAAAATCTCCAGCCAACCAGGTGTCCAGCAACATCTCCATATTACCTCAGAGAACTAGAACAGTATTCCATATTATTTATTTAAGTTCCCATCTGTGTAGTCATGGGTCCCAAGTACATTCTTTTCACCTCACACTTTTTCACTAACAAGTAGTTAATTGGTGGGCACAAGAAGAACTTCGGTTGTTTTGTTCAGTCTTTTCCACTTTGGTTATTTATATGCTTTTCATTAAAGTGGGAATTAAAAAAAACATAGTCTGATTTCTTGAGGCTTATTCATGTAAAGTGATTTTACCTAGTTAATTGAAAATCACAAGTGGACAGAAAAATCAAAAGAAAATCTATAGCATAATTTTAATACATCCCAAATCACTCCCATCTAATGATCAAGGTTGGTAAATGTTTATCATGTTGAAACTGCCTTGAACATAAATTAATAATTTATCTCACATAAATATTTCTGAACTCCTCACCATGGTGTCATCTGGCATTTTAATTATCAACCACCCATACAGGAGGTGTCACTTGGACATTGCCATTTAGATGTAAAAAAAAAAATGGCACAGCACCTGGGCATTGATTTTTTTAATGTACTTTTATGAACAGAAAGGTCATGGTTAGTGAGAATGTGCAAATAGAACAAAATTAACAAAATAACTAGGATATTGCTTATTAAACTTTCTTATTGGTAATCATGTTAAATTGTTTTGCAAGTACTAAGTGGTCATTAAGCATTTTCCTCATTGTAGCCAACAGAGCTTTCTCCAGGGAGATATTAGAACATTTTCCTCCATGGTGCTGGCAGAGGTTGTGTCAGACCAGGAACTATGGGTTGCCTCCAGAACACAAGCAACTAGGTACAAGGAAGCTGACTTCAAAATAGTCCTTGGGTTACAAGTCACTAGAAAAGGAAGGGAGTAGGGAAAAGAGAATGTAAATTGGCCTTTCCCTGACCTATTATTAATGAAGGATTTTGCAAGTGCTGTACCACTTCCAACATATGCAAAGAACATCTGAGTTAGTAAGAAAGTTAAATGGAAAGTACAAAGTGATGCCAGGTGCCAGTGGCTCACATCTGTAATTCTAACGACCCAGGAGGCTGAGATCTGAGGATCACAGTTCAAAGCCAGCCCAAGCATTTCCACGAGGCTCTTCTCTTCAACTAACCAGTAAAAAGCTGTGGTTCAAGTGGAAGAACACTGGCCTTGAGCAAAAGAGCGCAGGCCTTGAATTCAGACCCTAGAACCAACACACATGCACACGCGTGCGCGCGTGCACACACACACGCACATACATATATATATATATACACACACAGTACACAATGAGATGACATTCTGCAATTTAATTTGCTTACTAATATCTTCAAATACAAAAAAAATTAGGCTGTTTTAAAATTTAAAAATTCATGTTCTTGTTTTTTTCTACCATAACAAAATATTTCGTTATAATAAATTAAATGACCTCACGGTTTCTGAATCTGCACTTGTTATCATCGAGATTTCCACTTCCTTACTTCAGCTGAAATGTGTGTATCCTAAACTCTGTGAGTGTATGTGTGTGTGTGAGAGAGACAGACAGACAGACAGAGACAGAGAGAGAAAGAGAGAGAGAGAGATGCTGAAACTCAGAAAAGTTTGAGGAGAGCCATTGTCATTATTGGCTCCAGAAAATTAACTTCTAACTTTCTGCATTAGCTCTTCTCACCTTCTCTGGAAGTGCTGGTT